AATCAAATATATGATTATGATTGGTCACACGATCAGCCTGATGTTTAGATTGGATTTGACATTTTTGTCCTACTATTGAGTCTTTCCCAAACTCCTGGGATGTTGTTGTGTACTGGTTATATGGGAATATTAAAGGTATTGAAGAATGTAAGCTAATACAAATAAAGCTGTTTTTTGCAATTGACTGATGGGGATTTTGCCAATGCCAATGGTGTTCAAGAATCCAGATGTTTTGGGATTGCACCCAAGATGTTTATTGCTATTGGCATTATCTTTGCTTTCTTTTACCACAATCATTCTACTTTTATTTGCAGGTCTTCATGTTCTGTGATTTTCCACTGTGCCATTGATCTTTCATTAAAGCTTCTGGTATTTCTACTGATTTCTGTTATTTCTAGGTAGTGATCTGAATGCCTTCTTGTAATAAACCAAACTACATGCAAGTTGGTCTTCCTTCTCTTGCAGGTTTCCAGAATCATCTTGTCAATGAGAAACTGATATTTTGTTCCTCTGCTGTTTTTATTTATTTATTTATTATTTATTTGATTTGTCAATCGCTTACAAGATAAGAGGTATAAGTATATACATAGTTATGAATACATGAAATGGGTACATATAAGAAAAATAAAAGAAACAATAGGACAGGGATGGTAGGCATGTTGTTGCACTTATGCACGCCCCCTACAGACCTCTTAGGAAAGGGGTGAGGTCAATAGTAGACAGTTTAAGGTTAAAGTTTTGGGGGTTTAGGGAAGAAACCACAGAGTCAGGTAGAGTATTCCAGACATTGACCACTCTGTTGCTGAAGTCGTATTTCCTACAATCAAGTTTGGTGCGGTTAACCTTGAGTTTGTATCTATTGTGTGCTCTTGTGTTGTTGTGGTTGAAGCTGAAGTATTCATTGACAGGTAAGTCATTGCAATGTATGTTTGGACAGTTTCCCTTTTGCACAGAGGGAAAAAGCTTGTTTTCAACTAGACGTTGTTAGACCACATCAACTACCACACCAGTTAGCAATTTGAAAACAATTGTTTACTGGTAAACAATTAATTGGCCTGTAGTTGCCTGGTGCTGCCTCTTTTGTTGGATCTTTCATTATCAGGTAGATTTTGCCAGATGTTAAACAATCTTCTATTTAATCTCCTTGAAATAAGCTGTTATACTGCTTGGAAATGAGTAGAAGTAGTCCAGTCACATGTCTTGACCAAAGATCATGCATTTTATCTTCACCTGGTATTGACCAATTCTTGAGTTCCTTCGCTCTTTTTTCCACATTTGCTCTTATCATTTCATTTCAGTTTTTTAAAAAATTTTATCTGTCTCTTTTATAAGCTGCATTCATGTTGTATTTCTTTCGTTTGACCCACAGCTGTATCCAGAATTACAAAGTTTTATTCTTTGTCAGGTATTGACTAGTTCACTGTAGTCTCTCCAGTGATGAATTGATAGAAATGTTTATATTTTGATTGAAATTGGAGATTTTTCCTATAGTGTGCAAATTGAGCTTCAAATCTGTCACTTTTCTTGGCTATTCCTCTTATTTGCTGCTTTATTATTTCCAATGCTTTCTTGACCTTCCTTCTTTCTAGGTGATGTTTCTTGATCAGGTATTCCTGTTCTTCACCTTCTTGTCCTTCGGGTATTCTTTTTGTTCTTCAGCTTCTTGTCTTTCATCTTTGTATTTTGCTTGCATCTGACTTATTTTCCTGCTTGATTTTCCATTTCATCAGTGCACTGGTTGGCTTTTTTCTTCTTTGTTGATTTTGTATTCCAGTATTCAGTTATAACTGAAACTGTGTTGTACATTAGTTAATTTGTTTCTTGCAGTGAGTTGGTTTTTATATTTTATATTACAGTATTATTATCTTTTAATATTTGTGTTAGCTATTTCTCTGAAACAAACTTCAATGCAGGCAGACTTATTCTGTTGTTTTTGTGCTGTTCAGCTTTGTTTCAGCTGATTTTTTAACTAGAGAGCTTTGTTCTTTCTGAGAAGAAGGCATAATGATGATTCAATAACTATGCTGCTGTCTGTTTCAGGTTTGCCTCTACAGTTTGAACTAATTCTGGCAAGGCCTCAATTTCTTTGCCCTGGGTAGCCTTTTGCTTTTTTTTTTATTCCAACCCCGTGAACACTTTATTTCATACTGTAAATCGACATTGATCTGCTAGCCTCCATTCTGTTACTTCTGATACTGAATGTAAAAATCATAGGGCTGGAAGGGACTGGAAGGGGGTTTTCTAGTCCAGAAAACTAGTTTCCCAACCTTTCTGGATTTGTGAACTGGGGGGAGGGGAGTTCATTCCACAAGACGAAAAGGCAAGTGTGTGTGCATGCAGCTCCATTTGTGTGAGTAGCATGCACACATGCCCATCATTCATGCAAATGGAGCACATATGCATGCACTTGCCTCAGAGTTTGTATTCATCAGGTTCTAACCAGTTCTGGAGAACCGGTAGCGGAAATTTTGAGCAGTCCGGAGAACCAGCAAAAACCACTTCTGACTGGAGAGTTAACAGTATCCTTCCCCTGCCATGCCCACTAAGCCACGTCCACAGAACCAGTAGTAAAAAAAAATGAATCCCACTGCTGCTGAGGTATTTGGGGATCAGTGGTGGTATTCAAATTTTTTATTACTGGTTCTGTGGGCGTGGCTTTATGGGTGTGGCATAGCTTGGTGGGCGTGGCATGGCATGGTGGGCATGACAGGAGAAGGATATACTGCAAAATCTCCATTCCCTCCCCACCCCATTAACCTGCTTTTCAGCTTCGTTCTCCTGTGCAGGGCAACAAAAGAAGACCCAGCTGATCAGCTGGGATTCCGATCAGCTGGGACTTGGGAGGCAGAGAATAGATGGGGGCGGGGACAAGAGGTGGTATTTACTGGTTCTCCAAACTACTCAAAATTTCCACTACTGGTTTTCCAGAACCTGTCAGAACTGGCTGAATACCACCTCTGGTGGGGATGTGTGTGAATGCACTTGTCCACCATTTCCTTGGCCCGGTTGCAAACTGCTCATGGGCCACTGCTGGGCCACCACCCTGTTCTAGTCCAATGCAGGAGACCTTATACCATCCTGTATACATGAATGTCCAATCTTTTCTTTAAAAACTCCAGTGATGGAGCACCCACAATTCTGAGAATTTATCCTGTGTCAAACTAGCTAGAAAGTAACAATAAATATTAATTTGTTTAATGATAATATTCAACCTTTTTCAGCAGAAATCTTAAGGACAACTTATATAATACAAACATTAATTAATCAATTATATAATTAAAATTTCCAGTCTACTATTTTTTTTACTGCAAGCACAGATGGCACTTAAGTCTTATTCTTATAGTGTGTCTATTCAGATGAGTTAGAAAACTATGGTTTGCTTATCATAAACCTGGAAGTGCAAAGGAAATGAGGACAGAAGATGAATACTGCACAAGCTTAGGTTCTTTCTGATAATATTCATGTTGTCCTATTTTCTCTTTATACCCTTCTCCTGATTTAGTGACTATATTTTTCTTTCAATGTTTTGGTCATGAAGTAAAATGGCTGCTAAGTGAACACATGGCTGAGAGACAGAAGCTGCAAGAATCATTGACTGCTACTGTTATGTCTTTGGGACTGGTTGGAGTCCCCAACCAGGTCCGCTGTTTGAGCGGGAGCACCAGCCGCTCCCATTGGCTGGCACCGTTTGACAGCCGGCTATAAAAGGCGGCTGTCGAGCAGTGTCAGCCCCATTGCCGCCAGCTAACCTGCCAAGTTAGAAGGCAGACGCGGCAACCCTTTATTCTTGGAATAAAGCCTTTAACGTTCACTCTGGCTCAGCCTCGTTCCTCCGCCGCTCTACAACACTGGCAACGAGGGCGGGATGTGATCGGAGGCTGCCAGACGTGCGATTCAAAAGAGCTGTAGCCACAAAGAGCGAAGCCACGGGCGCTGAAGCCGCAGCCGCCGGCGCTCACAAAGAGCGCGAAATTCAAAACGCCACCTCAGCCGGGAAGACAGACACCACCTGATAGGCGCAGCCGCAAACGCTCTTCTAAGAGCGCGAATTTTGATTCACAACTACTAAGGTGAAGGGCACTGCCACCTCGAAATGAATGCCAATCCGACATTCCCACCCTTCAAGCCAGCCGAGGAAACGTGGGATTCATATAAAAACCGGTTCATCTATTTCCTCAACGCTATTGGTCTAGCAGATGCTGCTGAACACAGAAAAAAAATCCTTCTTCCTCAGCTACTGTGGGGCTGCGGTTTTTGACACCGCTACAGCACTAGTTGCTCCTCGCGCTATCAGGAGCATACCTTGGGATGAACTCCAAGAGATCCTCTCCAACCACTACTCACCTAAACCATCCCAGATAGCCAGGAGATATGCTTTCAGAACTAGAAGACAGGCTGAGGGGGAGTCCATTAATGAGTATATGGCAGCTCTGAGGACAGCTGCCTTACAGTGTGGGTTCAGAGACTATCTAGAGGACATGCTATTAGACCAGATCGTCTGTGTGGTTAGAGACCTTAGGCTTCAAAGACGCTTGCTAGCCAAAAAGGATTTAACCCTAGCTTTAGCCGTTGAAGAAGCCCAAGCTGCTGAACTCTCTGCTCAATCAGCAGCTGAGATTCAAGGAACTCCTTTAAGACCCAGCAGCTCCACTATTCATTCAGAGGAAGTTTCCCTTGAAGAAGACCCCATAGACTCAACAGACATTAACCGCCTTAGGCAACAAAAGCCCTCACAGGAAGGAGCAGGGCAGAGAAACAACTTCACCCCCAAGCAACCTCCCATTTGCCTAGCTTGCGGGGGTTCTCACTCTAGGGCATCCTGCAGGTTTAGGAATGCCATCTGTCTGAATTGTCAGAAGAAAGGCCACCTCGCCAGAATCTGCCAAGCAGGGCGAACCTTTCCTCAGAGACCTCCACCACCTGCTAATTTCCAAAGGCAAGTGGAGGACTGCTATACTTGCTACCACGCGAACCATACTTCCAAGACTCCTAATAAAATCAGTATTTCTGTTTCTTTAGAAGGTAAGCCTTGCAGAATGGAGGTAGACACGGGATCTGCACTTTCGATCATCTACTGGGAAACCCTAAAGAAGATTCATCCCAGATTGTCAAAGAAGAAGCTGCAGAAATGCCACCTGACACTGCGGGACTACCAAGGCAAGAACATCCCTGTCCTCGGGAAAGGCAAGTTTTTAGTTCAGTTCCAAGCTTTTAAAGGCCATTTGCCTTTGATGGTTGTTAATGGTGCCCTCCCCAGTCTGTTGGGACTAGATTGGTTCCCTTCTCTCGGCCTTAGTGTAACTGGGATCCATGCTGTCTCAACTTCTGACGTAGACGCCCTATTCTCAGACTATTCTGATGTTTTTAGCAGCGAGCTGGGCTGCTATTCTGGCACCCCCATCTCCTTCACTGTGGACCCCCAGGCAATTCCCCTTCGCCTTAAGCCACGCAGAGTGCCTTTTGCCATCCGTCCAAAGTTAGATTTAGAATTAGATAAGTTACTGAAGCAAGGGGTGTTAGAGCCAACTGACTTTGCCAAATGGGAGACCCCCATAGTCACCCCACTCAAGAAAGATGGCAGCATAAGAATCTGGGCAGACTATAAAACCACCCTCAATCGTTATCTGCAGGTCAGCGCCTACCCTGTCCCTGTTATTCAACACCTGTTACACACCTTTGAACCCGGCACCATCTTTGCCAAATTAGATATGTCCCAGGCATACCAACAGTTCCCTGTTGATGATCAGACAGCTGAATTACAAACCATAGTCACACATAGAGGAACATTCAAGTGCAAACACCTCCAATTCGGCGTAAGTGTAGCCCCGGGTATATTCCAATCCCTCATGGAAAGGATTCTCCAAGGTCTCCCAGGGGTTGTCCCTTACTTCGATGACATTTTAGTCTCAGCAATTGACAGACCTCAGCTCATACAGAGGGTCAGAGCAGTCCTAGAGAAGTTTAGGCAGCATGGCCTTAAACTTAAAAGGGTGAAGTGCGCCATCGCCACTAGGCAAGTGGACTTTCTGGGGTATAGGATAGATGCCTCTGGCATTCACCCAGTCGAATCCAAAGTAAAGGCTATCCATGAGGCCCCCACACCAACTAACAAGACGGAGCTCCAAGCTTTTCTGGGGCTACTAAACTTTTACGCTTCATTTCTTCCGCACAAAGCATCCATTGCTGAACCCTTACACAGACTGTTAGACAGAGAATCCCCCTGGCATTGGGGACCCAAAGAAGCCCATGCTTTCAAGTCAGTCAAATCCTTACTCACATCTGATGCAGTTTTAATCCAATATGATCAACGACTTCCCCTGGTCCTAGCTGCTGATGCATCACCCTTTGGGATTGGGGCTGTTCTGAGCCACAGGCTTCCCAACGGTTCTGAGGCACCAATTGCCTTCTTCTCTAGGACCTTCTCTACTGCAGAAAGGAACTACAGCCAAATAGATAAGGAAGCCTTGGCTGCAGTAGCTGCAGTAAAAAAGTTTCATGAATTTTTGTTTGGGCACCATTTTGAACTTATAACTGACCATAAACCACTCCTGGGGCTTAAGGATGAAGGCTCTGGCCCGCAGCTACGTTTGGTGGCCCGGCATGGATGCCCAAATCTCCAGCTGGGTAAGCTCATGCCAACCTTGCCAAGAAACCAGGGCTGCCCCACCAGCAGCCACGCCTTCCAAGTGGGAAAGTGCTAGTGGTCCTTGGTCTCGCCTGCACATCGACCTAGCTGGACCAGTACAGGGAAGGACCTTCTTGGTTGTAGTAGACTCTTATTCCAAATGGATAGACTTGGCCCTACTACCTTCAACAACCACTCAAGCAATTGTTAAGGCTCTGACCCATTTCTTTGTTACCCATGGGCTCCCTGATACGCTGGTGTCTGACAATGGCCCCCAGTTCACGTCTTGTGAGTTTAGTATGTACGTTGCCAACTTGGGCATCAGACACATCCTTACAGCCCCTTTTCACCCAGCTAGCAACGGGATGGCTGAGAGGGCAGTCAGGTCAGCAAAAGAGGCACTTGCCAGGTTTGACCAGGAAAACTGGCACTCCAAACTGTCCCGTTACCTCCTGAGCCAACATACGACTCCATGCACCACTACAAATAAATCCCCAGCAGAGCTCTTGATGGGGAGACGCCTTAGGACCACCCTGGACAGGTTGCACCCCCACTACTGCCCAGACACCCCTATAGGATCTGACAGTTTGGTCAGGGACTTTGCCCTGCATGACCTGGTGTATGCCAGAAATTATGCAGGGGACCCTCTGTGGGTACCTGGTCAAGTTGTGTCAGTCACAGGTCCTAGATCCTACAGAGTCCTCCTGGAAGATGGACGCCTGTGGCGTAGACACGTGGACCAGCTCAGAAGGCGATGGAGAAGCACAGCTGATGCCTACCCAGCCCAATCTCCTAGCACCGAGGGCTCCCTGCCGGAACCGGTCTACCCAGACGAAAGCTCCCTGCAGGACCCGATCTACCCCATCGACCAAGAAAGTTTGCTGGAGGACCCGGTCTACCAACAAGGGACCCCGAACCAACAACCAAGCGAACCTGTCTGCCGTCCGGACCGAGCGACTCACCAAGGTCAGCCCGAACAGGGGGACTTACCTAATTCACAGAGCGCCCCACCCGGCCGGGCCCGCTCCTCAACGACCCCCGAGACGCTTCCTGGGGGCGAGGACTTGACTCCAGCCAGCAGCTTGCCCGGACTACGACGATCCTGCCGCCAGCGCAGACAACCAACCTACTTGAAGGACTATGCATGCTCCCGGCTGGGGGAAAGGAGTGTTATGTCTTTGGGACTGGTTGGAGTCCCCAACCAGGTCCGCTGTTTGAGCGGGAGCACCAGCCGCTCCCATTGGCTGGCACCGTTTGACAGCCGGCTATAAAAGGCGGCTGTCGAGCAGTGTCAGCCCCGTTGCCGCCAGCTAACCTGCCAAGTTAGAAGGCAGACGCGGCAACCCTTTATTCTTGGAATAAAGCCTTTAACGTTCACTCTGGCTCAGCCTTGTTCCTCCGCCGCTCTACAACAGCTACCATCTGATTTGGATAAAGTTCCCTCATACAGTGTCCTGTGCCTAATATTTTTGTTTTTGAAAATGTAAAGTTCTCCAGGTATTTTCCATATACATGCAGTGGTAATTCTCTGACCATAAGGAAAAAGACTTGAGATCTCTCCTTTTATCCCAGAAGTTATCTGTGGTTACAAGGTCTGGCTTCTGTCTTAGTAGGCACTGTGGTAGTTAATACTAACATTACCTCTTATCTTCCAGTAAAGTGCCTTTACAGAAGGTCCTCACCCCTAACTCTCATTAAGGGTGAGACAGTGGGGTCCCACACCTTGTGGCAGGAAAAAAAAAGAAATCAAAGGACACAAGAGTCCAAAGTTATTACATAAATCTACACTTTATCATCTCAGTTCTGTTAATATTTGCTGATTACCTATTTCTAGAATGAGTATAAGAGGAATGTAATATAAAAGAAAGAAAAATAATAATGGAGGACAACTCTTTATTGTCATTTGAATTAGAAATGATTTCCATTATTATTTCAATATATTTATTAGTAAGGAAAATAAGTATGACAGTAAGATTCCTCTTGCAACAAATGTATTTTAACCCAGAAAAATTATATATACATGAAATAAAAGCATTCATTCTGTCTCCCTTGGTTTTTTTTTAAAGTCTACACATAGTTTCCTGTTTTTCTCTCTGTGTTCCACTGTTTGAATTATGAAGAGTTTAGCAATGTTAGACTTGTGTCTTCTAAATCAGTCCAGGTTGTCTGAGGAAGTTTAAAAAAAGATAGATTAAACAATAAGCAAGAATGAAGCAGCTTCATGTGTTATATTATTCTATCTAAAAGAAATGGGTAGGCTTCTCCATTGTGTCATGGACATGTAATAGGAAAATGAATCTCATATAATAATGGAATTTGCTCATTAGTTCTTTTTCATTTGTATCAATGTCCATTCAAGTCAAGTTTCAAGTTGATTTTCAATTGACTTTATTTTCAAACTCATCTTCAGTTCAATATTTCAAATGAAGAAAAAAGAACAGAAAGGCAAAACAAGCATAATTTTAATTCATCTTCAAATTCATCCAGAAAAAAAGGTAGAGGAAAAAGAGGCAATTCAAAGAATAAGAACATGATTTGGAAATGCATGCTTACTCTAAAGTTTAAATCTCTACCACTGGATCAATTATATCTGAGAATCTGGAAAATGAGTCTGGGAGACGTATTGGTATATCTTATCCTTCATAATTTTTGAAAAATTATGGAGGATAAGACTGGTGCCAAAAGATTGGAGAAGGACAAATTGCAGTTAACATTTTCAAGAATGGTGAAAATATGCCTTGGTAATTACAGACTGGTCAGCTTGACTTTAGTACTGGTCAAAACTCTGGAATAGATTCTAAAATAATTTATAAACATTTAGAAAAGAATATATTGTTTGGCAGGATATTCCAGGGCTTTATCAAGAATAAAGCATGCCAAACCAAATCAACCTCTTTTTTTGATAGAATAATCAGTTTAGTTAACCACAAAAATGCTGTGAAAATAGTGTACCTTGACTTCAAAATAGATTTTTCAAAGTTTCCCATGACATTCTGTTAGAAAAAATGGCAACATGTGGGCTGAACTATGATATCATTAGATGAATATTAGATGAATATCATTAGAATATTATGTATAGTTTTAGACATTTCACTTTAGGAATATAATTGACAAACTAGTATCCCCAGAGGAGACCAACCAAGATAAGTGCCTGAAAACGTAGGTTGGGACCTGTTGGAGGTGTTGTGTATGTTTGGTATGGGTTTGAAAAAGAAAATACTTAAAATAGAAATACATAACTGTCCTCAAATAACTGAAGTTATGTAGAAGACAAAATCTACAAATTTGCAAAATTTTCCAACTATAAGGTTTCATACAATATATGTGATATATTTTCACACTTAACCTTACAGTTATGAGAGCTAGAAGCATACTTCTCTAGTAAACACAAAGTGGGATCACAGTAAGCAATAGCCACAAATGAAAGTCAGCAACAAAGATCGCCCAGAGCTTTGAAAACAGCATACAATACATACACCTATAACCTTCACAAAGTGCAACACAATCCTCTTTTTCCTGTAGTTAAAATTCCATCCTGTACATTCCTTCCCATAAGCTATTGAACCCTGAGTAATCTTTTAGCAAACATTATTCATTCTTTTATGGAACACCTATTTTTAGAGTCCAATTTATATTTTGTAGCTATTTTCAGAGAAAGATCAATAATAAGTAGTACACCAGAGTTGGTCTGATAAATTGTAATAATCCACATTTGTAATGGCAACTTGCTAATACTGAAAGTTATGCTTTCATATACTGTGTTAGTGATTGGTGTATCAGTAAAATTAGAATAAAGGAAAAGAAACACATTTGTAAATTTCAAATAATGTTTCCTGGGATGTGATTTCACAGGAAGCCATCAACACTCAGATATCATTCTAGCTTGTTTAGTATCCAGGCTTCCTGGAAAATACAACAATTCCTCCCATCCTGTCACATCAGAGAACAAAAAGAAGATATGGTGTCCCT